AAAGTTCTTTGGTGTAATACAATGCACTGTCCAAAAGGAGGCATAATTGCACTGGATCTCAATTCCAAGTACTTTTAATAAGATGGGTTGTAGAGGTAGCTTTTATGTGTTGCCTTAAGGGCTCAGGGAAGGATTCTGTGAGGTGTCAGTCATACAGATAGCATAGAGGTTATTTTTGGGCATTAGATACATCCCTCCCTGATTTGGGAGCTTGAGGAGACTTTGGCTATACAGATAAAGCAAAGGTCACCTAGCTATTGACCACCTCTGATCCTGATGTGAGAACATTGCATATCTGGCTCTACAGAGAGCACATTCACCAGGCTTTTAATGATCTCTATTCCCAGCCTTCAGGGTGGAAAAACAATTTATCCATATTTCTTTTTTTTATTTTTAATTTTATTTTATTGAAAAAAAGGAAAAAAAAGTTTCCGCCTTTTCCCAGCCTCCTAATCCCCTCCCCCTCTTCCCACCCTTCTCCCCCTCCCCCCACTCCTCTCCCCCTCCCTCTCCAGTCCAAAGAGCAGTCAGGGTTCCCTGCCCTGTGGAAAGTCCAAGGTCCTCCCCCCTCCATCCATATCTAGGAAAGTGAACATCCAAACTGGCTAGGCTCCCACAAAGCCAGAACATTAAGTAGGATCAAAACCCCGTGCCATCGTCCTTGGCTTCTCATCAGCCCTCATTGTTCGCCATGTTCAGAGATTCCGGTGTTATCCCATGCTTTTTCTGTCACAGTCCAGCTGGCCTTGGTGAGCTCCCAATAGATCAGCCCCACTGTCTCAGTGGGTGGGTGCACCCCTCGTGGTTCTGACTTCCTTGCTCATGTTCTCCCTCCTTCTGTTCCTCATTGGGACCTTGGAAGCTCAGTCCAGTGCTCCAGTAAGGGTCTCTGTTTCTATCTCCATCCATCACCAGATGAAGGTTCTATGGTGATATGCAAGATATTCGTCAGTATTATTATCATATTTCTTATTGAAGAAACAATCCTATGTGTCTATCATTGCTGGTTTCATTCGTGCTCATCTAAGGGGACAAGGACTTTGTGCTGCTCAACAGACAGAGACAGAACAAGAGGAGAGAAACAGAGTGAGACAGAGGGGGACAGAGAGACTGACAGACAGGAAGACACAGAGACTATAAAAAAAAAACTTCTGCATTTAACTCTTTCTAACCTGGCTTACCAAATGTTATCAGTAAAGACTTGAGTACAGGGACAACTGCCAACCATTTCCAGAGGCACTATTCAAATATTCAAATAATTGTGCCCATCATCAATAGAACTCTACCAGGGGTATATAATTAGAAAGAGAAATAGAAATATTTTATTATGAAACAGTGCTGTGGAAATTAGAATGGACAAGTGAGATGAGGGATAAGCCCAAAGAGAACTGGTCCATGAAGCTCATGACCCTTTATAAGGCATGAACAAAGAGCTGTGATACCTCTGCTGGTTGGTACATCAAGGACATTTTAAGCATCCTCTGTCCATTGCTTGAAGCCAAGGGAAGGAAGGGCTGTCAGTGTTTTTACTCAACAAGCTTCGATCATGGTCACTGATGCTGCTCTCTCTGGGACCTCAATCTCATGCAAGTCCCTGTAAGATCTGAAATATCATGTGACAGGAGGAAGAAGCTTCACAGTTGTTTCCCTTGGAGACCTAGACTGGTGCTGGAGAGATGGCTCAGTGGTAAAGGGCTTGCCAAGGAAGTGGGAGAATGGCAGTCTCAGTGCAATTACTGAGAGCAGAGCTGCAGACCACTGTCTTTCCTTCTCAGAAAACAAGCAGGTGAAGACCAGCGCCTAATGCTGTCCACCGGCCTTCATAGGTGGGCCTTGGCATTTGCAGCCCCTCCACAAACACAATTGAAATTCCGTGAGATAAGGAGAAACATGGAGAGAACAAGGCTTAGAAGAAGCCCCTAAAACGTCATTTCCTGATAGTTATGACTGCTTTAAAAAAATTGTTTTTGCTTGTTCTTCATTTACTTTAATGTAAAGTAAACAAGGTTTTTGTTTATATTTGTGATTAATATATAATTACATTTCTACTTTTTTTCCTTTCCTATTTCAAGGCCCTCACATTTACCCTTCCAACTCTGCTCCAGAATCGTTGCCTCCTGTTTTCATTGATTGTTAATGTATGCACATATATAAACATAGATATGTGTGTGTACCTGTCCAGTCCTTATACTGTTTCTTGTTAGGTATGGTATCAGGATTGGATATCTGGTGCTGTACAGCCTAGCCGGGGGGATACCAGCTCTCCCATCCCCAGTGTACTGGTTGTTCATTGCTCTTTGAGTATCATGAGGCCTCACTGGCTCTTTCTATCTGATCTGTATGTTTCCTGTCCATTGTTATCATCTTTGAGCAGCTCATCTTTGGTCATTCAAGCCAATGAAATTTTCAAAAATTTTAGAGGTGAATTCTTTCTCTGGTCTTACATAGAGAAATGGCATTCAAAACTAATCAAAAGATTCTAAGATTTCCAAAATGGAAGGGACATCTATCCATGGAGTCCCTTACTGAGATGTGTGCTTCTCTAAATCAAAGGTACCTGTCTCAGAGTAGTTGCTTCCAGATTGTCACTTCTAAGAGTCTACATTTGCTAGGGAAGTGTTGTGTTCTTCTCTTTCTTCTATCTCAATTTTTCAGAACGCTGCCAGAATGCCTAATATCCACTATGAGTGAGTACATACTGTGTTTGTATTTCTGGGACTGGGTTATTTCAGTCAGGAAGCTTTTTCTAGTTCCATCCGTTTGTCTGCAAATTTCAAGAAGTCACTGCTTTTTAGTGCTGACTACACTACTTGTCATCACAGAATTACATCTAGTAATTGATGGAAGCAGATGCAGTGACCCACATCCAAGCACTGGGCTTAGCTCCTGGCATTCAGTTGAAGAGAGGGAGAAGGGATCATATGAACAAGACTGGGGGAGGGGTGAAGGGCATGGTGGGAAAATCATAAAGACAGCTGACCAGAGCTAGTTGAAACTCAAAGACTATGGATTGATAGTTGTGTTGAAATAGATTCTCTGAATGTGGGGTGACAGTCATGTATCTTGATCTATTGTGGGGCTCCCTGATAGTGGGATCAGGACCTATTTCAGGTAATGAACTGATGTTTTGGAGCACATTCCTTATGGTGGATTACCTTACTCAACCTTGAAACAGAGGGAATGGTCTTGGTCCTGACTCAACTTGGTTTGCCATACTTTGTTGAGTCCCCAAAGAACACCTTACCTTCTGAGGAATGGATGGAGGGTGAAAAGAAGGGGATGTTGGGGGCAGGAGGAAAGGAAGAATGGAGAACTGAGGTTTTTATGTAAGAAAAAATATTATTTAGGTATATAGAGCCCCCAAAGTTCTGTTTTGCAAGTCACTGGGCCCATGGAATTTTTCTAAGGCCCCCTGTAGGTAGAAGGGCTTTACCATGCACTCAGTGCTCTGACCCATGTCTTTCTGCAATGCCATCCTCCGTAATATATATGCCTTTTTCTCTCATATGAATACTCATGCTAGTGCGTAGTGTTTTGATTGTTTTAGGTTTGTAGTTACTTTAATTCATTGTATGAAAACTGACTTTTATTACAGGAGTATCTTGGAGATTTTCTAGCATTTTGGCCTGTCACACAAAGCTTCCTTTGAGGCAATGGTGCTGTATTCTGGTCTTGTAGTATTTAAAACTGGAGCTCATGGATTTTAACTGGGGTTATCACAATTCAGACATATGAGAACTTTACTGAAAGAAATAAGATGAAGTTCCTACAGTAGACGTTGAACACAGAAAGGGGGGGTATCCAGAGTCATCAGAAATTTGATCAAAACATTATCAGGGTAGAGGCATAGGGGATGGGTAGGCTGCTGAGTCCAGCTGGCTGATTCATGAGGTTTCTAAATGGCTGTCATGTTCTATTTGTCAACACTTAAGAACTCCAAGCTAGAGTGTTCCTTTATGGGACAGACCTAACAGGTATGGCACCTCCTGCTGTTATTCTTGACATCTGATCAGATCAAGGAAAAAGACAGCTGATTTAAGCACTATGGCATCTCTGACCTCTGGCAGACAACTACCAATAGGACCAAGGGCCTATTGCCATCTAGCCATGGAATACTCAAAGGTGCTACTGTGGGTGTCTACAAACCCGAGTCACACAATTCTATCTCTTGCTCTCAACACTGATAGAAAAGTAGGAAACTCCTGTGGAGTTTATAAAATATTTATATGTTTAGCCTCACCAATCCCCCAAAGTCCAGAAACAGGAAACACTGATATTCCCAATACACAGATGTGTACACTGTGATCCCGAGGCATGGGTGATACACTCTAGAAAAGAGCTTGTCCTGCTCCATGGGGAGACAAGAAAGCACATGAAGTGTAGATGCATGTTTCAAATGCAGAGATTCTTTGCAATCCTAGAGAGGACAGCTAAGTTGAGTCACCCCCCCCCCATGTTGCCCAATGAAAAAAGATCCAGAGAAAATCATATCCCTAGTGTCACAAAGCAGTCCCAAGGCAGAAAGCATGTTCATTTGTTCTAACTCAGGCTACTTCTGACAGGACACCAGCTGTTTGTGTCTGAGAAAAAAAAGGAAGGACCTGCAAGGACAAATAATTCCTACTTAGGTCAGCTGAGGTGGCAGTTACTTGTACACAGTGGGGAAGGGGTAATAGTTTTATCGAGTTTCACATCTCAGGGCAGGAGTCTGACAAGGTTGCGGCTGGGCCTGTATTTCTGTAACCATTTCTTTTTGTGAAGAAATGGATGAACTCAAAAGCTAAGATGGTAAGTACACGTACATGGACGTGCATGTGCAAAGAGACTCTGACAGTTCTAGTAAGTGAGGATTTGATGTAAAAAACAGATATCAAGAAATTCTAAATGGGCAAAATGTTAGATTTCCTGGAAATAAGCAAGAATGTTGTAAAATGTGCTTTGCATGGTGTCAGATTCTGGCCAGGTTGTCCATGAAAAATCTTCCTGCTTCCTTCTTGCAGAGAGAATGCGGGTACTGATCAGGTCAAGGAGAATCTCCTTCAGCTGAGCTGTCACTTCACGTGGAGCTTGCTGTTTGAAGATGCTGACATACCTGATTTGGAAATGAGAATCTCGGAGGAGGTCGAGTTCCTAGACATCATGAGCCCAGTGAGGATGCACAACCTCCTGGCCTACGTGAGACACCGGAAAGGCCAGCATGAGGAAGCCCTGCAGAGCCTGAGAGAAGCAGAAGCCTTGGCTAGGAGAGAGCAGTTGGGCAAGAAAATGCTGGTGACCTGGGGCAACTGTGCCTGGGTGCATTACCACATAGGCAGCTTGGCAGAAGCCCAGAGCTACCTGGACAAGGTGGAGAATGCGTGCAAGGACGTTGCAAATCCCTTCCGCTACAGGATGGAGTGTGCCGAGATGCACTGTGAGGAAGGCTGGGCCTTGCTGAAGTGTGGAGGACGGAATTGTAGACGAGCCCTGGCCTGCTTTGCAAAAGCTCTGAAAACTGAGCCTGAAAACCCCGAATACAGCATTGGCTATGCTGTCGCCGCCTATCGTGAAGACAATGATGACAATAATGTATCTCTGGAACCACTAAGGAAGGCTGTTAGGTTAAATCCAGCAGATCCATATATTAAAGTTTATCTTGCCCTGAAACTTCAGAGTGTAGGAGAAAATGACGAAGCAGAAAGACACATTGAAGAAGCCCTCAGTAGCGAGTCCTGTCGAACCTATGTCTTTCGTCATGCAGCCAAGTATTACCGCAATAAAGGCTGCATAGACCAAGCTCTCCAACTACTAAAGCAGGCCTTGGAATCATCAGGTGACTCTGGCTACCTGCATTTCCAAATAGGGCTCTGTTACAAGCAACAAATGATCCAACTGAAGACTGAGCCTGGTGAGCGGGACAGCATGGAGGAAAAGGCACAACTGGCCATCTGTGAATTTCAGAAGACTGTGGATCTGAGGCCCACGTTTGAGATGGCTTATGTTTGCATGGCTGAAGTACAGGCAGACATTCGCCAATATGAAGAAGCTGAGGCAAATTTCCAGATAGCGCTGAACATGCAGAACCTTAGGGGGCACATAAAGCAGGATATTCATTTCCGCTATGGCCGTTACCAGTTATTTCATCAAAAATCAGAGGACATGGCGATCACCCACTACTTAAAAGGTCTACAAATAGAAGAACCGTCCTATGCCTGGAGGAAACTACTCATAGCTTTGGAGAAAGTGGCTGACAAAAGAATTGAAAAGGATGTTCGACTTGTGGAGAGCATCAGCCTCCTTGGGTTAGTCCACAAGCTGAGAGGGAACATGCAAGAGTCCCTGATGTACTATGAGCAGGCTCTGAGGCTCACTGGGGAGATGAACCCTGAGTTCTGAATGCAGCTCAGCTCTACGAAGATAATGTACTCATCACTGAGGTTCCATCCCTCCTAACTGACTGCTTTCCCCAGAACTGCATTCTTGCTGGAATCCAAGTACCTAAATGCAATGGCTCCTGCCACCTCTTTCTCACCCTCATTGTCCTATCTAGAAGGAACTTCTGTCCCCACAACACCTGCTCACTTAATGGTCAGGACTGATTCCTGCTGTGCTGGACCCTTCGAGCCCTGTGACAAACCTTATCCTTTACGCCTGTGCTATGAGAAAGAAAGTCTTCATTGTCTGCCTGCCAGTGTCCCCGACAAAGAATTCTTCTCCAATTAGGATTCTTTCAGGTCATCAGGATCTCTTACTATAGTACAACCTCAGAGCAAAAGAGATGAACAAAGGAGAGAGTTTTAAAGCAGGAACGCTCTCACAGTCCTGGACACCCATTCACAGCTAATGAAAGACTTGAGTGTGGGGACAGTAATGCAAGGAAACCTTGCTGAACCTTACAGACTGAAGATGACATAAAAAGTTTGCCTGATTTTTTTTCTGTCCTATTGATAGTGTGTTATGTGTGATGTTTTTCTCTGCATTAAAATAAATCCATTAAAATTTACTGGAATCACAAGCTCTTTCAGTGTAATTTGTTGATAGTATTCCAAAGCTTCTTCTTTCACGGTCCCTAGGAAGGCATGGGATAGCAGAATCAACTCCCAGGAGTCTCTTGGGCAAGCAGGGGAGAAAGCTGTGCACATGAAAGGAGCACGTGGGAAGTGAAAACACGAAAAAGGTTATTTCATTCTACACAATACCGGAGAGTAAGGGTGACTGATGCTACCCTGGTACCTGAGCGCTGCTATTTCTCAGTAGGAAGGTGATGCTTGGGATGGGCTTAGACTTCATTTGCCTGATTCTTGGGAAAGTACAACTGATACTTTCTACAGGTTTTTCCATGTTAAGACCATTAACATGTTTATTAAATTCAAGCAATGGAAAACTATAGTGTCAGCTCTCAGGATTCATAAAGATGCTCCTTGGTAGCCCACATCAATGGAGAGGAAGAGTAACTGAGATGGGAGAAGAAAAGGGAATGGAAGAAAGAAAGATTGGGCAGCAGCAGGAAGACATGCAGTTTGATTGACAAGCTAGGATCTGGTTATTTGGCAGACACGTCTCTTCCAGGAAACCATTTCCACCTTTGCCTGAGGGGAGACATATTTACAAAATATTTCAGGGGATGATATGTGTGTCAGATACTGGATGCTTCAGCTATCTGGCATGTCCTATTATCACTAAGCCCTGTATCCTGCCCTTAACTTCATGAGAGTTATAGGTCAAAAGTAGAGAACTGAAATGCTTAAGTTTCTTGCATTGATTAACGTGCCTTCAGTTCCCAGATCCCCGACTCACTGGGCCAGGATGCACCTTGTGCTCTATGTCTGCAGATTCACACTGCCAATGCTCAGGAGCTCTTCTCTGCCCTCTGCTCCTCCTCTCCCTCTGTCCCTGCTGTTTAACTGTCCTGTCAGCTCCTTTGGGTTTTCTTTGTCTTTCTTTTTCCCCCATAGTGTAGTCTCTCTATAACTGTTTTGACTTTTCTCATCGACACAACTGCAAGGATGAAACTTCAACAAGTTGTGGCCTGTTCCGCACAGCTATGCAAGGGACAATCATGGGTAATTTCATGTGAAGGCAAGCAGGCACACACACACACACACACACACACACACACACACGCACAACACTGAATAAATGTGAAAAGTATTTAAATTAATAATGATAAGAAAAACAACTGTGCTTTATGGTTAGAGCATCAGGCTGTAGCTAATAACATCACTATATTTTACTAAATATAGATTATGTGTACTTAGTGACCAGTTCTGTTCTCAGTGTTCCTTGATGAACTGAAGTTCAAAAGAGAAGTGAGAATGATCCCAATGAGAAAGAGCCATAGATGAGTAGAAGGCCAAGAGGGGGCTCCTGGTACTGATTGCTGGTGTTGTTGTCAGCATCAGGCCAAGAATGATGCTGAAGAATGAAGCTAGGTGGCACAGAGGCGGAGCGGCGGCGCGGCCAGACGCACAGAGGCGGAGCGGCGGTGGCCAGACGCAGCAGAGCAACACCGCATACAGGAAGAGGCTTTCGGGGACCGGCGCAGCGGCAGACCCAAGCAGCGGGGACAGGCGTGCAATAAGGAGAGCAGATCGCCCTACTACAATTGAATCAAAGAGGTAGGCCTTTGGTTGGCCAGGTCACTGGCACAAGGGGAGCCTGGTCCTGTCCTGAAGATCCTTCGGAGGGGTGAGAGGGTTCTTGGCCTGCAGCAGGAACCACGAAAGAGAGTGAGGGCATTTTGTAAGCGGAGCCCTTGGCCAGCAGGGAAACCTGATCCGGTTTTTAAAGGACCCATTGGATAGGATCAATAGGAGGAGATGGGCAGGCGCCAAGGCAAGAATTCACCCAATAATCCGAAAAACAACATGAAGACATCAGAACCCAATGATCTTACAACAGAAGTATTTGAACAACCTAACACAGAAGAAGTGGAAAAAATCGACTTTATGAAGATAATAGAGTCCCTTAAACAACATGTAAAAAATGCCCTTATAGAAATGGATGAGAAGTATAACAAAAAGTTTGAAGAAATGTGTAAATACGTACATGATACCCTGGGAAACCAAGAAAAAACCATCAAACAGGTAATGGAAACAGTTCAAGAATTGAAAACTGAAATGAAGGCAAAGAAGAAAATACAAACTGAGGACCAGCTGGATATGGAAAATCTAGGCCAACGAGCAGAGTCTACAGAAACAAGCATAATCAATAGAATACAAGAGCTAGAAGAAAGACTCTCAGATGCTGAGGACACCATAGAGAAAATAAACGAACAGATCAAAGAAAACAGCAAAGCCAACAAATTCTCAACACAAAACATTCAGGAACTATGGGACACAATAAAAAAACCAAACCTAAGAATAATAGGAATAGAAGAAAGAGAAGAGTCACAGCTCAAAGGCCCAGAAAATATTTTCAACAAAATTATGGAAGAAAACTTTCCCAACTTAAAGAAAGATATTCACTTAAATATTCAAGAAGCATACAGAACACCAAACAGACTGGATCAAAGAAAAACATCTCCTCGCCATATAATAATCAAAACACAAAATATACAGGTTAAAGAAAGAATATTAAGAGCTGCAAAAGAAAAAGGGCAAGTAACTTATAAAGGTAAACCGATCAGACTTACACCTGACTTCTCGATGGAAACTATGAAAGCCAGAAGGTCCTGGATAGAGGTTCTGCAGAAGCTAAGAGACCATGGATGCAAACCCAAACTACTATACCCAGCCAAGCTATCGTTCACTATCAACGGAGAAAACAAGACATTCCAGGATAAGAACAAATTTAAACAATACGTAGCCACAAATCCAGCCCTACAGAAAGTAATAGAAGGAAAATCGCAACCCAAGGAATCCAACACTGCCAACACTGCCTACAATAACCCAGGCATCTAATGACCCTTCACGAGCACATCTCAAAGAAGGGAGACACACAATCTCTACTACCAAAAGCAATAAGAATAACCGGAGTAAACTACCACTGGTCATTAATATCACTTAATATTAATGGGCTCAATTCACCTATAAAAAGGCACAGGCTAAAAGATTGGATACGAAAACAGGATCCAACATTCTGCTGTTTGCAAGAAACACATCTCAACCACAATGACAGGCACCTACTCAGAGTAAAGGGTTGGGAAAAGGTGTTTCAAGCAAATGGTCCTAAGAAAAAAGCAGGTGTGGCCATACTAATTTCTAACAAAACTGACTTCAAACTAAAATCAATCAGAAGAGACCGAGACAGTCACTTTATACTCATAACAGGAACAATTCATCAGGAGGACGTCTCAATCCTGAATATATACGCCCCCAATATAAAAGCACCTACTTATGTAAAAGAAATATTACTAGAACTCAAGGCAGACATCAAACCACACACACTAGTAGTAGGAGACTTCAACACTCCTCTCTCACCAATGGACAGGTCAATCAGACAGAAACCTAATAGAGAATTAAGAGAATTATTGGAGGTAATGAAGCAAATGGACTTAACAGACATCTATAGAACATTCCACCCAAATAGGAAAGAATATACCTTCTTCTCTGCAGCAATACCACTCTTGGGAATATACCCAAGAGAGGCCCTATCATACAACAAAAGTATACGCTCAACTATGTTCATGGCAGCATTGTTTGTAATAGCCAGAACCTGGAAACAACCTAGATGCCCTTCAACGGAAGAATGGATGAAGAAAGTATGGAATATATACATATTAGAGTATTACTCAGCAGTAAAAAACAAGGACTTCTTGAATTTTGCATACAAATGGATGGAAATAGAAAACACTATCCTGAGTGAGGTAAGCCAGACCCAAAAAGAGGAATATGGGATGTACTCACTCATATTTGGTTTCTAGCCATAAATAAAGGACATTGAGCTTATAATTCATGTTCCTAGAGAAGCTAAATAAGAAGGTGAATCCAAAGACAAACACATAGGCATCCTCAGGAATATTAACCTTCATCAGGCGATGAAAGGAGACAGAGACAGAGACCCACATGGGAGCACCGGACAGAAATCTCAAGGTCCAAATCAGGAGCAGAAGGAGACGGAGCATGAGCAAGGAACTCAGAACCACGAGGGGTGCACCCACACACTAAGACAATGGGGATGTTCTATTGGGATCTCACCAAGGCCAGCTGGCCTAGGTCTGAAAAAGCATGGGATAAACCCGGACTAGCTGAACATAGCGGACAATGAGGAATACTGAGAATTCAAGAACAATTGCAGTGGGTTTTTGATCCTACTGCACGTACTGGCTTTGTGGGAGCCTAGGCAGTTTGAATGCTCACCTTACGAGACCTGGATAGAGGTGGGCAGTCCTTGGGCTTCCCACAGGTCAGGGAACCCTGATTGCTCTTCGAGCAGATGAGGGAGGGGGACTTGATCGGGGGAGGGGGAGGGAAATGGGAAGCGGCTGTGGGGACGAGGCAGAAATCCTTAATAAATAAATAAATTTAAAAAATAAAATAATAATAATAATAATAAAGAATGAAGCTAGGTGTCAAAAGGCCTAACCAAGTCAAGGGCAAGAGCTGCAAGTCAGGTCCAGGTCTAGGTGGGTGATCAGGGGAAAGGGCCTTCAGTAGAGCAGACTGCACCAAAGGAGGGGACTAAGGTTGGGCACTTGGTTCTCAGCCCTTGACCCAGACATCAGGTATCAGATGGTAGGTTAGTGTGGGCTGTGACATCCCAGTGTCAGCTAACTGTCACTCTATGGATGATATCCAAGTGTGGAAGCCACACCTCTTCTTATATCTGATTTGCCAGGTAAGTCCTTGCCCCTAGTCTCCTTGAAATGCCCCTTAATTCACCTCATTTTTAATCTGTATAATAATCTTTTTCCCCACATACCCTCTTCTTTGATTATCTGGGATTTTAACATCAAGCACACAAATCTTCACAGTCATTCCATGTCCACTTCCCCTTGTAAACTTACTCACAAAAGCAGTAAAATAAACAAACAAACAAGAAAAACACAAAGTCCA